AGTGCGGAGCCCACTCCGCCTCACGCACCTTGGTTGGCAAGGCCTTTCGCCAGGGTTTCTATTGACCGACGGCTCTCAACGATGCGGTCGACCTGGTCCGGCGGTGCAGGGCGTGCCAGTTCCACGCCAGGCAAACCCATCAGCCGGCCCAGGCCCTGCAGACCATACCTCTTTCGTGGCCGTTTGCTGTCTGGGGGCTCGATATCCTGGGTCCGTTCAGGCGGGCCCCGGACGGGTTCGAGTATCTGTATGTCGCTATCGACAAGTTCACTAAGTGGCCCGAGGCTTATCCGGTCATCAAGATCGATAAGCACTCCGCGCTTAAATTCATCAGGGGCATCACTGCTCGGTTTGGGGTGCCTAACCGTATCATTACGGATAACGGCACCCAGTTCACTAGTGAGCTCTTCGGTGACTACTGCGAAGACATGGGCATCAAGCTCTACTTCGCCTCCCCCGCCCACCCCAGAAGCAATGGCCAAGTGAAGCGCGCCAACGCGGAAATCCTCAAGGGCCTCAAAACCAAGACCTTCAACATCCTCAAGAAGCACGGCGACTCGTGGATCGAGGAGCTGCCAGCGGTGCTCTGGGCGAACCGAACCACGCCAAGCCGAGCAACCGGGGAAACGCCTTTCTTCCTCGTCTACGGCGCGGAGGCGGTCCTCCCATCTGAGCTCACCCTGAGGTCCCCTCGGGTCACCATGTATTGCGAGGCTGATCAAGATCAGCTTCGCCGAGACGACCTCGACTATTTGGAAGAGCGAAGGCGGCGCGCGGCCCTCCGAGCCGCGCGCTACCAGCAGAGCCTGCGGCGCTACCATCAGCGCCACGTCCGGGCCCGATCACTCTGCGTCGACGACCTCGTCCTACGCCGCGTCCAAACGCGTGCTGGACTGAGCAAGCTCTCACCAATGTGGGAGGGTCCGTATCGAGTGATCGGCGTCCCCCGGCCGGGCTCCGTTCGGCTAGCCACGGGCGACGGCACAGAGCTGCCTAACCCGTGGAACATCGAACACCTTCGTCGCTTCTACCCCTAGTGGGGGTCGGGTGTCATGTCTCGGGCTCGGGCCAACCCCGCACCCCCCCGGGCGTGCAGGGTTGGCCGGGGGCTACCACATGCATATACTTACCTTTTTTCTCTTCCGTATTTCAATAAAAGCATTTTCGATTTCCTGAGGACTGTGTCTGTGCCATCGTTTCCTTTTGAAGAATCTTGGCTCGAATTAGCACGCTCGTGCTCGACCCTGCCCTCGGTGGCCCGGGTCGGCTAAAATCGCCAAACGGGGCCCAGAACCGAGCCGTGCCCCGGGGCGTGGTGAACTCCGGGGGGGAATCGGCAAAGGCCCACAATCGGGTCATCCATAACCCTCGGTCACCGCGCTCCCGGCCTGGCCAGTCTCGACACGAGGATCTCCCCAGGCACTAGCCCCGACCCGCGCCGTTTGAGGCTGGGACCTGGGCACGAGCCCTTGTTCAAGCCAAGACATAGAAGGACCGCGGCACAGACCATCCTCGTCTCATACACACAACAAACAGAACTGACGCAGAAATTTCCTCTTTACTTGATTGCAGATTAAATCAGTCTATACAAGAAGGGGGCCCGAAGGCCTCGGAAGAAGAAGGAAAAGTTATTAAGATTGGCGGGGGCCTAGGGGCTCACTCCGACGCGCCCGGGTTGCCGGCCTCGTCGTCGCTGTCGTCCGCACCGTCGTCACCGCCCTCCTCGTCGAAGACGAGCGCGAACGCGAGCCGAGGGGCTGTACCCTCGAAGCTGTGGACGATGTGGTCGGCGGCGTCCCGGACCTGCGCGCGCGCGCCGTCCTCGGTTCCGGGAGGGAACTCTTCCAGCGCTGCCCACGGGGAGAAGTCAGGGTCCCTGGCCTGGTAGCTTGCCAGCACGAGCTCCACCGCCCCCCGGGCGAGGTCCCTCGAGGATGACTTGATCGTCTCCTCGAGCTCCTCGGGGAGCCGCTCGAGGGCCCCGGCCATCTCTGAGAGGCGCTGGGCGAGGCCCCCCTAGTTGGCGGCGTACTTCGCGTACCGCCCGTCCCAGAGGCCCGCCTGCCGCCCGGCGCGGTCTAGACAGGAGACGGCGTCCCGAAGCATGCCGGGCCCTACCTCGCTCGCCAAGCGGAGGGCCTCGACCTCCCCGGCGGACGAGTCCAGCGCGCCCTGCAGCTCGGCGATGGTGTGTTCGGCGGCTGCGAGGCGGGCGGCTAGGTTGCCGTGGCCCGCGGCCGCCCCGCCGCTGTGCGCTCTCGCGTCCAGCTCCTTCGCCCGCGCCTCGAGCTCAGCGGCCCGCTGATCCAGTGCGGCCCTCTCGGCGCGGGTGCCTTCCAGATTGCGGCACGCCTGCTCCTCCCGCGCTGCCTCGCGGAGGAACAGGCTGTCCGCCAGCCGCTGCGCCGCGGCCTCGGCCTCCTCGAGAGCTCGCCCCCGCTCGGTGAGCGCGTCCTCGCGGAGGCGGAGTGCGGACTCCTCTTCGGCGCAGGCGGCCTCGTGCGCCGCCAGTGTTGCCTCCCGGGTGGCGACGGCGGCCTCGCGGTCCGCCAGGTCTCTCTCCTTCGCGTCCAGGGCGCGGGCGCGCTCCTCCAGCGCCGTGGCGCGAGCCTCAAGGGCCTCTTCGCGCTGCCGGGACGCCGCCTCGTTCTCCGCCGCCCGCCGTTCCCGGGCAGCGGCGGCATCAAGGACTCCCTGGGCGGCGTCGAGCTTCTCCTCTAGCTCCGCCGCCCGGCTCCCGTATTGGAGGCGGAGGTCGTCCCGCGCCCCGTCGAGCACGGCGGTGGCGATGAGGGCAGTCTCCCGCTCCTCCTCCACCTCCCTGGCGACCTCCGCCAGGTCCCTACGACGGGCCTCGAGCTGTGAGGCGTGCCGGCGGTGTGCCTTGCAGCCCGCGGCTGGAAGTAGCAGCCACCGACTACCGTCGGCGGCGACACCGGCTGTACGGTGAAGAACCACCGGAACAGCCGGAGAAATGGGCGCACCCCGATAAACATCTCGCACAGGTGCGCGAAGATGGCCAACGTCATTATCGCGTTGGGGGTGAGGTGCGCCATCTGGAGATCATAAAACTCCAGAATATCCATGAAAAAAATAGAGAATGGCGGGACCAGCCCCGCCATTGCGAAAGAGAGGAAGAAGACGGACCGCCCCGGGTAGTGTGGCGCCGGGCGTCCCTCGCCCAGCGCGACCACCTCCCGGCCGGTGGCAGATTCCGGCATGAATCGGCGCGGCAGCCCGGCCTGCCTCTCGCTCACGATGCGGGAAGGCGGCAGCACGCTACCGTCGAGCGGTGCGGAGCCCCGTGCCATGACGCCGGCGGAGGAGCTTGAGAGCGAGCGAGTGCGGCAAGGGTAGGGCACAGGAAACGAAGAGTTAGAGCACAAGTGGCGAAGGCAAGGGGAAGAGTGGCGAGAGGAAAGAAACGAATCCCTTCCTCGGCGTCTTTACACCCTTGCCAACGCTATGCCCGGCTCCTCGCTTCCTGCGCCCACTACCTCGCCCCCTCGTTTCTCGCGCCCACGCCTCCACTAACCCCACTCGCCCGTTTGCGGCGCACGCGGCAGATGTGCGGCCGTGGCGGTTGAGATGGGGCAGATCGTGCGCGCATTAACTACGCTCGCCAACCGTGAAAAGCGCCATCATCATGTCTCCAGGCGAAACGAACCGGCTCGTCCCGATTCGCGCGCTGCTCGAGTAATGTAGCGGTCTTGAAGAGGCCGCTCATTATTGTCGGTCGGTTTTCCCTTGCCGATGCGCGCGATTTGCGACCGCTGGGTTTCTACCCGCCTGTAGGGACCGGCCCCACCTGTCACCGGGCCTAAGGAGTGGCGTCACGCCCGAGCACTTCCCTCGAGGGGGGCGATCGCCCTGGCGTAACGCCGGGGGCTACTGTCGGTGACATGGGGCCGGGGGTATCGTGAATACAGGCTTGGGTAGCCGCGGTCACCCACGTGGCCTGACCCCCTCGGGGGGGGGGGGGGGTCGGGCCCGAGGGTGACGTGGCCACCCCTCCCTCTGTCTCCCCGAGGGGTCGGGCCGCTCCTGTTTCGGCCCCGAGGGCTGGGGCGCCCCCGTTTCGGCCCCGAGGGCTGGGGCGCCCCGACCCCCTGTGGTTTTGGCGCCACGTGTGTGGGTTAGGTGAGCACAGCGGGGCTCACCTAACCGCATTTATAGCAGGTTGGACGAGCGCGCCACGCCGCATTTAATGCGGCGCAGCGCACGCTTATCCGGTCCGTGACCGGTCGCGGTGTGTGACCGGTCACAGACCGGTCAGATCGCGGGTTAGGTGGCAACAGGCGGCCTGTCACACGCCTCGCCCCGTCCCGTCGGAATGATGAGAGTTTCCTGGCTCTCGTCCCTAGCCGGAGCCGGCGTGCTAACTCCTGGAGTTGGTATGTCAGTCCCGGTCAGATCCATTCCAGGCTTCAGCGCAAGTATGGCAAGGAAGTCGCTGGCCATTAAATGAAGGTTGAAATGGGCGTCCACCGGGAAAGCGGGCGAGCGGGGCAGGAGGCGTGTGCTCTGCTTGTCAGAGGTCACTTCCGGCTGTAGACGAGCCCTCATTGTAAAAAGCATGTTTCCCTTCTTAGGCAGCGAGAGGCCCATGTGGTGACCCCGGACCAGATAAAAAGGAGGCCCAGGCCTAGGAGGAAAAAGGGGAGGAAGGGGGGTTGGGACTCTGGGGAATGGGTTCTAGAGCCTGAACTCTCTCTCGCTCTCCAGCTCTCTGTATTCCTTCACGCACAGATCCACCAGAACACAGGAGTAGGGTGTTACGCTTCTCAGCGGCCCGAACCTGTCTACGTCGCCCGTGTCTTGTGCATTTCCTCTCCCGCTGACGTTCCTCAGATCGAGGGCGAAGAACCTCACTTAGCGCCCCCGGCCGAACCGGCAAAGGGGGGCCTGCGCAGTCTCCCGGTGAGGAGCCCCACGCTCCGTCACAGCTTATATGTACTATTACAAACAGAGATGATGAGAAACAAAGCTGAACTTTATACCTTGTTCATCAGGACACAACAATCACTGATCATGTACCGACTAGGCAGGTTGTTTGTTGCGTCAACTACTATGTCATATCTGTGATATTTTAGTAGTGTTGGAAACAGGAATAAGAACAAACAAAAGGACATGATTGATATTTCCTATTGCATTCTCAAGGATACTGTCGCATAATATCCAAAGCGTTGCTCGCATTCAAAGTGATATGATACTCGAACACCTTGATAGAGGAGTTAATTCTGATTTCATGAGAAACATATATAGAACTAATTGATATCACTTTGTAGGCACACATAAGTGAGATTGCTTTTACAATTTATATATGATAGATTATCTGCCCAAATGATAACATCTTACGCACGGCAAGAAGCAGCAGTTGATTTCACCTTTGGTTGTCCAACATATGCTTCTATGTGTATTATCTGTAAAAAAACATTGAGGAAGAATTTAAGATATTTAGCCTCCCTTAGATGTTTTACAAATTACAAGTCCTATTGTTGCCAAAAGCAAACCATGTAAGAAAATGCAAGCCACTAGTCTATGAAAATTAAAAAAAAAACTTAACTAGTCAATAAGTTCTTTCCACCCTGCAAGTTAATTAACCTAATAAAGTGGCAGTCGATGAGAGTGCCTTCCTAGGAAGTCATAACATTATAAATAGAGCTCCAATACCATCACATTTAGAAGAAAGTGCAAGAGAATATGGGGGACAGGTAACGGGTACCTGACGATGCAGGTTGTCAAGTTCAACTCGATCGCCATCAACAATACCTAAGCAACCTAACAAAATACACCAAGTAGTAAATCAAGCCATGGACGATTAATCACAAAAGGTATCATCGCATTCGAAGCAAAAATATCTGTTCCTCAGGAGAAGAGACATTCTTTCCGAATGAACTAGTACGATAATTGATACCTGATGAACAGCTCTTGTTGTAAAGGAAATCGCAATAATTTTTCCAAGTCAAATTACTACAATGTTTAGGGTGATAAAAAAAGGGGAATTCGCTTTTACCGACGCCACAAGCAGCCAGATACATGGCCACAGGCGAGCCCAATCCACCGGCACCGACCACCAGGATGGATGATTGGGACAGCTTCCGTTGCCCTGAAATAACAACGAGTGGATGAACAGTGGTAGTACAGGCTAGAAGCCAAGCAACGAGCGATGATGCTGAAGAGCTACCTTCGAGGCCGAACTGAGGGAGGAGGAGGTGGCGTCTGTAGCGGCTGATCATGTCGGCGGCGGCGGAGGAGGAGGAGGAGGGCGATCCCGTGGGCTCCACTTCGGCGGCGGCGGAGGGGGGAAGGGGAGCGGCGCCGAGGCGGAGCTGCGACTCGAGCAGGCGGATGCGGCCGTCCAGCTCCTCCCTCTCCGCGCGCAGCCTCTCGAGCTCGCGCATGATCGCCTCCGCCCTGCTCCTCCCGCCGTCGTCGTCGCCGCCGCCCTCCATTGGCGCGGTGCCGGTGGGGTTGGGTCACCTTCTCCACGGAGCTAGGAGCCTAGGAGTAGTAGTAGGAATAGTACTCCAGTTGCCCAGTTGCACGGTTGCAAGGGTGCAAGGGCTGGTGAAAACGGTTACCAGCCACAGGTACGTTGCGCCAATCGGACTGACTGGCAATTGCCAATGTCTATCTCATTTATTTATTGAACTTTTTATTACATGGTAGACCACATCACTTTACACCTGCAATAGCAGCCGCTCACATATATGTGGGATCGGATCCACCTGTCAGTCACTGCTAGTATAAATGCAGTACTGCAGACGATCCATATCTCGTAACATCACACCTACACACGTTCAAAGAGACGAAACTGACACACATCCTTGATTTCACTAAATTTTAATTTAAAAAACTACCTACATGTACGTAATATTCGTAAGTACTAAGATTTAAACTCTGGTGAGTAGAGTCATACACACACAATTGCACTATCACCGTACTCTGTGTATGATGTTTAATTGGAGAAAAAAGGGAGGCAGAACGCTCAGCACCGATGTGTATGATGTTTAATTGGGGAAAAAAGGGAAGGCGAAACGCTCATGTGCAGAAAAAAAGATAGTAAGGAGAATTCAAACCATAACCTCCAATATAACAAGCGGGTAACTTACCACTAGACTACTTAGTACACCTTGCTAAGAAACATATCATCCTATTATTAGAGATATTTAACCATCTGCCACATTTAGGTGTGGCAACTAACTTTTTGCCACTGGAACCATATGTCATATACACATGTTTAAAAATCAATGCTAAAAAAAATTATGTTGAAAACATTTTAAAATCAACTTAAAAATTAAATTCAAAAATTCAATTTTAGATGCTTACTTTTTGGTTATAGTTTTTATCATGGGTCATTTATAAAAATAAGTTTTGTGAAAGGGTCAAAACGTCAAAATTTCGGGCATCCGGACCGTGCTTTCGTGCCGTTGCCATCATCCGCAGGCCCAATGCACGATCCAATACTCCATTCTTAATGGGCCTTCTCAAAGCGAAAGCCCAACGGCCACTCGGCCCGTGTGTCTATCTCTCTACCCATCCCTCGCGCGGCCATTGTCCATTTCCTCCCTCTTCTTCCTTGCGGCGGCGGCGGGCGGCGGAGATGGCGCACCGCGCACCGGTTGCCGCGGAGTCGGGCGGCGGAGGGAGAGGTCCGATGTACCCAGCGTCTGCTGATCCTGCTTCGGCGGCAACCCCTGCTACGTTCCAACGGTACGGCCGCGTCGTTCTATCTTCTTACTCGCATAAACCCTAGCGCCCCGTACAGATCACTTAGTTTAGTAGTAATTCCTTTTGCATCATTTACGCAAATCCATTTGATGAGATCCTCTTGGTTTGTGGTTGCACGGGTCAGGAGTCGGTTCTCAGCGGAGTAATTTTACTCCATGAAGCTTTTTCCGTGTTGCATTTGGGGATTTTTTTTCTCCCCCGACTCCGGTTGGTTGCAATCCTTTTCATTTTTACAAAGTGCAAAACACTGAAATAGGTTTTTGATTGCTTGATTATTTGTTCTTTTATGAGAAGGGGAAAAAGAAGGGTGAGTGCACTGTGCCGAATCTGCTTCCCTTTAGGCCTTTAGGTTGGATGCTCCAGTGATGACTGAATTCACATCATATATCGTTCCAATTCCTGAATGCAGCTCCTATGGGATGTTGCACGTTTGTGGAGATGAAGAGACATCTGAGGAGTTCAGTTCCGTTGTTTTTTATTGCTCAATGTTTGAACCTTTCGTTTTCAGTTTTCTTCGTTTGTATTTTGTTTTATCCTAAAAGAACTATTCCATAAACCGTCGGCTGAACGACTGCGGTTGCACGATTCATATCACATAACCACGAGTATGTTGGTCCTAAGGTTTCACAAAACCACAATGTTAACCAATCTATCTTAGTACTATTACAAAAATAAAAAAATAATTAACTTAGATTACTACAGCATTTATACAATGAAATTAAAGAAACTAATATATTTCAGATATAAGTTTATAACTCATGTGCATGATACATCAAACAAAAAATAGTTAATGGTGTGGTTTTATGAAATTATAAAGCCATAATACCTGTGGTTACGTGTAACGCACCAAAACCCCTATGGTTTTGTGCAACTTGGACCATAATACCTAGGGTTTTGTGAAATTTATTCCTTTTTTCCTACTCCGGTGGTTTGCATTCCTTTGCTTCCTTTCGGTATGCTCCAATGATGACTGAATTGACATCATATATCGTTCCAATTCCTGAATGCAGCATCCTATAAGATGCTGCACATTTGTGGAGATGAAGAGACATATGAGGAGTTTAGTTCATTATTTTTGTTGCTCAATGTTTGAACCTTTTGTTTTCAGTTTTCTTCTTTGTTTTATCCTAAAAGAGCTATTCAATGCTGCTCACATTTGTGTGCAAACATGTGTGGAGTTTCAAATCCGACAGTTTAACAAGAAGCCTTTTTCTTGTTTGCAGAGTTAATGATCCAATTGCTCTTGAGCTCCTGAGCAAGTCAGGCGAGAGATTTCACTATATTATGAATAAGAAGAACCTTGTATGCTGGTGGCCAAGACGCCCAAATAACCGAGCAATATTTGAGGGATGAGGTCTATGTGCACGGTGAGATTGACTGCATTTTCATTGTCCTAGGCACATACATAAACCTACAGTACAAGTACAGTACAAGAGAGATGGTGCCAAAACAGCTGCAGAATGGCTTACTCCAAGTTAGTCATAAAAGGTTTTCATCTGGCAAGCCTCAAGCACTATGGCCAGTGGGATCGCCCTTGAGTGCTGTCGTCGTTAAGCAGTAGAGCGCAATTTCAGCCTAGTGGCGTAGAATATCAACAGCAAACAACATTGGCATATAGTCTTAACATTCAGTGAAGATAGGACACTGTGCTCACCTATGGATCCCCAGATAGCATGTGCCTTGGTCCAATCGCATGACGAACTCGGTCAACAAGCTGCCCAGCATGTCATCACTTTTGTTGTCTGCCATTCTGTCCTCTTTATGGTGGTCAGGCTGCTGTACTCCGCAACTGCATTGACTGGCAGGTACACATAACAGCAACTCAGCAAGCAATAGCTTAGCAAAGTCAAGGACAAGGTATTCCTGGAGAGCAACCAGATTCAGGCTGTGTTTAGTTCAGCGCGAAGTTTGGATTTTGGTTGAAATTGGAGATGATGTGACTGAAAAATTGTGTGTGTATGACAGGTTGATGTGATGGAAAAGGATTAAAGTTTGAATCCAAACTTTGGATCTAAACACAACCTTAGAATTCTTAATCTGTAGGCCTTCCCCATGCTGGAGAATTGCATTCCAATTTCCAATGCCTTGAACTGTACATTAATGTATGTATATCATAGAAGCATGCTCACGGTTAACCTGGTATTCACTCTTCAGAATTAAGTTTAACAATTAGATTGTGTAATCATAATTGCCATGTATCAACAATTCAATATTAGTTGGAAGTTGGTTTTACTGTGATTTGGAAATCCCATGAATTGAATAGGCCTGAAGTTATTGGCCGTGTTTAGTTTCCCCCCTATTCCTAACTTTCCATCACATCATATCTCATCAAAAACTTTTCTACACACATAAACTTTTAATTTTTTTTACAAACTCCCAACTTTCTTCAAACTTCTAACTTTTTTCAAGAATTAAATACACCCATCATAAGGTAGGAAGCGAGAACAAAATAAATACTGTAGTAAGTATACGTGTTATGCTCACTTTTGTAGCAGTACCTTTTTTTCCCTTTTGGCACTTGAAAGCAACCTTTTCAATACTAAAAAGATATGCATTACAAATCTTCTTCGATTCGAATTCAGTACAAATTTTATTCAACTCGAAATCCAGCGGGAGCAGGAGCAATGATCATCCTTAAAGTTGGGAGAATTGCCGCACACCAACTGACGTGTGGGGCCTCCAAACCGCAAGTACACCTATGCTGGCAATGCTGCCCTTGCCCCTCTCCCGCCAACGAATCCCTCCACTCCCCAAAAGCAAAAACGCGCGCGAAAAATTTCAACTCCCGCGCTTCTCCCACCGCATCCTCTCTCCCCTTGAGTATTTACTTTTCAAAATACATAAAGAAAGGAAGGGAAGCCGAGTGATCACATCGCCGCAACCACCAACCTCTCGAGGCCGTTCGAATCCCTCTCTCTCTTCTCCAATTCCCCAATCACCGATCACCGCGCCGCCGATCGGGTTCGTGTGTGTGCCCTCGACGTGTTCGACGGAAAGCCCGCGAGAAGCGGAGGCCGGCTGCGGCGACGGCGAGGATGTACGTGGTGAAGCGCGATGGGCGGCAGGAGGCGGTCCACTTCGACAAGATCACCGCGCGGCTCAAGAGGCTCAGCTACGGCCTCAGCCAGGAGCACTGCGATCCGGTCCTCGTCGCGCAGAAGGTCTGCGCCGGCGTCTACAAGGGCGTCACCACCAGCCAGCTCGGCGAGCTCGCGGCGGAGACCGCCGCCGCCATGACCGCCTCCCACCCCGACTACGCCTCGGTAAGGCCCTCCGCGACTGATCCGTACGCTACACGCGGTCGTCTGGGGCGATCCGATGGTTATTGACTGGATGTGGCGCTGATTCATTTACACTGTGAAGCTCGCCGCGAGGATCGCGATCTCGAACCTGCACAAGACCACCATGAAGTCTTTCTCAGAGACGTACGTTCTGATCCCTTTTTTCTTATTTGCTGGTATAGAAATGTTGATGATCTGTGTTGTGAAGTGGTTACGTTGATCTCTGCATGCAGGATAAAGGTCATGTACATGCATTACGATGAGCGATCTGGGCTGTTGGCTCCTCTGATTGCCGATGACGTCTATGAGATCATCATGAAGGTGAGATACATTCTTATCAAAATCAGTTTGGAAGTTCCTTAACATTTTTACAGCATGTGTGCTTCTGCAATATGGCATGCATGAAGATTGCAATTAACATTTGTGACGATGACCGCCTCGCAAATTGTTAACTGTTTATTTGTTTTCTTATGATATTATTCCCCCAAAAAGATTGTTTCCGAATCATGTATTGCTGCAATATGTCACTTTCTATAGAATCGCACCAATAGGTTGTTCTTCAACATTTATTTACTAACATTTTATTCACGTGTATTGCCGTGACTCTTTGTTTACTTCTGTTCTTTTGGATCCATTATGATGCTTATGTTGCCCGTCATTTGGTTTGAAATTCATATTTGATGATCTGATATTTGTTTAGCTTTATTGGCTTTGTTGGAGTTCTTGAAATTTTCTTATATCAATGCTGCTTTTTTGCGTTGTTCAATTTCTTGTGTGGATATATTTCTTCAGGTGCTTCAATTTTTTATTATATGTATATTGTGCCAATGTGACTTGATAATTTCTATATGATGCACCATTTCAGAATACCACCCGCTTGGACAGTGAGATAATTTATGACAGAGATTTTGACTATGACTACTTTGGTTTTAAGACCCTTGAGAGATCTTATCTGTTAAAAGTTGTTGGGAAGGTTGTGGAAAGACCACAGCATATGCTAATGAGAGTTTCTATTGGGATACACAAGGATGATATTGAATCTGCTATCAAAACGTACCACATGATGTCTCAGCGCTGGTTTACTCATGCTTCGCCAACCCTTTTCAATGCTGGCACTCCAAGGCCTCAAGTAATATGCTTCCTACCATTGAAGTCCAATTTGGATTATTAAAAATGGTCTCTTATGCTCCTCTCTGTTTTATGCAGTTAAGTAGCTGCTTCCTCATCTGCATGAACGATGATAGCATTGAGGGAATTTATGATACTCTCTCAGAATGTGCTACCATAAGCAAATGTGCTGGTGGAATTGGTCTCTCAATTCACAATATTAGAGCTACTGGGAGTTACATTCGAGGAACAAATGGAACATCTAATGGGATTGTTCCCATGCTGCGTGTTTTCAATGATACTGCACGTTATGTTGATCAAGGCGGAGGCAAGAGAAAAGGTAAATACCATCAGTTAGTTAGACATGGACCTAATTTACATGTTCAGTGTTCAGGATTTCTTATGGATTCCTAACATTAATTTAGGTGCATTTGCTATATACTTGGAGCCTTGGCATGCTGATATTTTTGAGTTCCTTGATTTAAGAAAGAACCATGGAAAGGTAAAGGCTGTTGAAAGGATGCATTTTCTGATAGACATTAGAAATTGATAACACAGAAACACATTTACTCACCATGTGCAATTCGCAGGAGGAGAATCGTGCAAGAGATCTTTTCTATGCGCTCTGGATTCCAGATCTGTTCATGGAAAGGGTGCAAAATAATGAAAACTGGTCATTGTTTTGTCCCAATGAAGCTCCAGGTTTGGCTGACTGTTGGGGAGATGAGTTTCAGAATCTGTACAAGAAATATGAAAGAGAGGTAAGATGTGTGCTGGGTGTGCAGTTTATTGAAGTAATATCTAAAGAATATTTGTTAACCTAGCATGCAATTTCAGGGCAAGGCAAAGAAAGTTGTTTCAGCACAGGCGCTCTGGTTTGACATTTTGAAGGCACAGATAGAAACTGGAACACCATATATGCTTTATAAGGTGTGCAATTCATAAAGGGAACAGTAGTTTGCCTACAATTCTGTTGCCACATATGCTTATTTCTGAAATCTGGTCTGCAGGATTCTTGTAATAGAAAAAGTAACCAACAAAACCTGGGGACAATTAAGTCTTCAAACTTGTGCACGGAGATTATTGAGTTCACAAGTCCCACTGAAACTGCTGTGTGCAATCTAGCATCGATTGGTTTACCGCGTTTTGTAAGGGAAAAGGTATGCACTATGCAGTACTGGCTGTATAATTTTTGATTTGTTGTAGGTTGAAATTTCTGTATCTCACGACACAAATTTGTTCAGGGTGTTCCTATGGAGTCTCATCCGGCTAAGCTTGTTGGTAGTAATGGATCCAAAAACCGATATTTTGACTTTGATAAATTAGCTGAGGTTTGTGTTTAATATTTACTTACTTTATGCCTCTTCCCCACTAGCCTGAATGCTACTAATATTTGTTGGTTATTGCAGATTACTTCAATTGTCACAAGGAATCTCAATAAAATAATTGATACTAATTATTACCCTGTTGAGACTGCAAAGAGATCAAATATGAGGCACAGGCCAATCGGAATCGGTGTTCAGGGCTTGGCAGACACCTTCATTTTACTTGGCATGCCATTTGATTCAACAGAGGTAAATTTTTCCAACCTAAAAATGTGGTTATTCCAATCTATATATACTTCGCTGAAATGCGATGCAATGATCTTTTCAGGCTCAGCAATTGAACAAGGATATTTTTGAGACTATTTATTATCATGCCTTGAAAGCTTCTGCTGAAATTGCTGCAAAAGAAGGTCCTTATGAAACTTATAGCGGGAGCCCTGTCAGCAAGGTTAGTGCCTGATGTCCAATAACTTTCCCAGCATTTATGTTGCAGGTGCCAATCCGGCCAAGAAAAATGCTGCCTGTATGATTTGCTATTCTTTCTCAAGTAGTTTAAGTAAGATATTGAAACTCTTAGGGCTTTTGAATTGAAATGTCATTTTGTTATTTGATATCTGGGTTGCAATAGCCAATACTATGTTCTAAGGCTGTACTCAATGCATCTCCTACCAGGGCATTCTTCAACCTGATATGTGGAATGTAGTTCCATCTGATAGATGGAATTGGTCAGATTTAAGGGAGATGATTTCCAAAGTTGGAGTTAGGAACTCTCTTCTTATTGCTCCAATGCCTACCGCTTCTACTAGTCAAATTCTTGGCAACAACGAATGCTTTGAACCATACACCTCAAACATATACAGTCGGAGAGTTTTAAGGTCTGCAAATCTGCTCCTTGTTAAACGTTCAACCGTTGTTTTGGTTACATGAATTTTTGCCAGTCTGTTTTGGTTTACATGACTAGTTTCCTTTTGGCAGTGGCGAGTTTGTTGTAGTAAACAAGCATCTTCTCCATGATTTGACTGAGATGGGTATTTGGTCCCCTGTTCTGAAAAACAAGATTGTCTATGAAGATGGTTCTGTTCAAAAGATCTCTGAGATCCCAGATGATCTGAAAGCAATTTACAGGTTTGTGAATTATCATGTCAGCTATAGTCTCATAAGATGCCAACTATCACTTGTGTCTAAATGTATCCTGTCATTGAATCAGAACCGTGTGGGAAATCAAGCAGAAAACTATTGTTGACATGGCCATCGATCGTGGTTGTTATATCGATCAGAGCCAAAGTCTTAATATCCACATGGACCAACCGAACTTTGGGAAGCTAACTTCCCTGCACTTCCACGCTTGGTCCAAGGTAAAATTTTTAGTTTCAGTTCATGTTCAATTTATAATTCTGCATCAAGTTCTTCTACAGTTCACGTTTTTGCAGCTATCTTGAATAGTATATGCATGAACTAAATTGTTTGATGCCAGGGCCTGAAAACTGGAATGTATTATCTAAGAACACGCGCTGCTGCCGATGCAATCAAATTCACAGTGGACACTACTCTCCTCAAGGTGATTCGACAACTATATACAGATTTTGCATCATATTTTACACATGATTCTTACCCTGAGAAACGCTGCATGTGCAGGATAAGCAGCATAATGCAGAGGAAGAGGATGTCCAGTCTAAAATGGCAGAGGTGGTGTGTTCCTTGAACAACCGGGACGAATGCTTGGCATGTGGTAGTTAGGTTCGTCCAAATCACATCTACCTTATCCTGACCTATATATATGACCTTATACTGCCCCTAGGCTAAACCGGCTTATCTTTCGATCTCAATAGTGGTAACCCGTGTTTGGTGCACTCTGAAATTCTGGATTGAGGCTATCAGACAAGACTTATTTTTAGAACTTCACCGTTGGCTTGTATATTTATGCTTAGGCTACTGTGACTGTATCTATCTAAATCTAAACACCTAGTGCTTTCATTCTATTACCTCTGTACTAAAATATGAGAAATTTTAGCCATATAATTATATGAGCAAAATCCATTATACTTTTATTCTATTACCTTTGTTTTAAAATATAAGAAATTTTGCCTATATAATTATATATGGACAAAATCTTTTATGTTTTAGGATGGAGGTAGTATCGTCTATGCCATGTTCTCATTCTCATACATTACTAGTAAATATTTATATAACTGCTATGTATTAACTGTGGCATTTTATAATTTGTCATCCTTAGACATGAATGACATACATACAATTTACCATCGTGGCCCACCTTCGATGACTAAGATGATTTCATTGAGAGGGAATTGCACCTCTAACATAATGGCTAATAGTCAATTAGTAGCAAAAGATGGAAACTAGAGATGTTAAATTAGCTATGTCAGATTCATGTGCATAGCTTGATTTATTTTAGAATACGACTACTACGTACTGGATTATTCCGAGACTCCTAGTATTTCTATACGGGCAGAGGTGTTGATGCCATGTCTGAGCCTGTCGACGAGAGAATCAACGTACTGCTTGGCTCCTGGAAACCTGAGCCTCGACCTGGCCAGATCCGGCGACCGGAGCACGGCGGCGTCCTAGCCGTCGCACTCCAGCGACTCGACGCCCATGGCGAGGAGCTCCAGGTTGACGGCCACCTCCATCGCCATCCTCGCGAACGGCAGGTCGACGGCGACGCCGAAGGCGTGGCGGATGCGGAGCTCGGCGAGGTGGTGGTGCTTGAACCCCGGCGATGGCTGCCGCGCCGGCGGCGAGGGCCATCTCTTGCGCCACTCGGCAGAGCACACGTGGTTGTCCGTCTGAAGCAAGAAGAGGAAGAGGATTATATTAGTGCTACTATTAATAATAGTATATATACTACTTCCTCTGTTTTAGACTATAAGATATTTTGACTTTAGTGAAAGTCAAACTGTTTTAAGTTTGATTAATTTTGTAGAAAAAAGTAGTAACATTTTTAAGTCAAGACAAATTTATTATAAAAATATATTCAATTACTAATTTGATGAAACTAATTTAGTATTATAAATATTATTATTTTTATCTATAAACTTAGTTAAAAATTTAAAACAGTTTGATTTTAATCAAAGTCAAAACGTCTTATAACCTAAAATGGAGAGACTAATATTTATCTATAAACTTAGTTAAAAACTTAAAACAGTTTAATTTTGATCAAAGTCAAAACGTTTTATAACCTACTCTTGAGAGTAATTAAAATTTAGAAACTCACAGCAATAGTGAAAGTTTCTAGGAGTGGTGCCGCTTCAAGCAGGAACGTAAGGGTTGTTTGGTTCATAATCACATGTTGCCACACTTTGCCACACCCCAATTTAGGCAGCTTTGATTACATTAGCTATGTGTTTGGTTCATTGTCACAATTGTGGCCAGATTCTTTTTCTAGCTTTTTGGTCCCACATGTCATTGTCTCAAGAAAAGTGTGACAAGTTTGTGGATTCTTAGCCATAGCGTGGTGCCAAATTTGTTCGTCTAACCTTAGACAAACTTGATAAAAAAAAGCTATGATAACTCTAGACAATGTTAGTATATAAATCAAACAACCCCGTAGTACATGAGAGAAAGTTGCGTGTGTGTGTGAGATGTCATCCAGCTCAAGCTTCTTTAGGCCGCCGAGTTGGATTGTCAGCTCAGCTGCTCAAGGGGCTCCTGGTTGTACCCAGATCTGCATGCAGCACATACACGTCAGGTTGTCAAAGCCTAACCCAGGGTTATGGGTTCGACGAAAACCGTAGAATTTTGAGGTTTCGACGCGGGACGAAGTAGATTTTGAATGGTTTTTAAGAATTTAAATTTAAAGCGGTAAAATTCAACCAAAATTTGATCAAAGTTTGTCATACATACATATATATATATATATATATATATATATATATATATATATATATATATATATATAATCACATTTTATAAGTTGTTTGACTTTTTTTTCTTAAATTAACATTTAAATTATTAAATTAAGTTTGATAATATGTTTGTTTTATGATGAAAATACTACTATGTTTTTCTATAAATTTGATTAAACTTAAAAGGATTTTACTAAGAAAAAACTTATAATATGAAAGATAGAGGGGATTACGATAGAGGGGATTACCTTTGTGCCGAAGGACTTGATGCAAAGCCGCTCTAATTGACCAGGGTTTTCTGGGATTAGCTTACTAAGCTTCCATTTAAAATCGTAAACAACCCCATCATTATGCTCCTCGTCGTAGAAGTTTTCTAGGGTTATACCTTTGAGCGACGGTGTTCCGCCGTACGAGACCGCCGGCTCGCCGTCGAGCCACCCGTAGTAGCTTGGGCGCATTGACAAGCTCGACGCCGGCGGCGTGGCACTGGTCGAACACCAGCGTCGCCAGCCGCGACTCCGGCGGCGCGTCGATCGTCATCACGGAGAACGGCACGAAGCCGCAGTAGAACATGTCGAGGTACTCGAGGGCGGGGCAGCCATGGAGGAGGTGGGTGATCGTGGCCGCCGTGTCGCCGCCGTCGAACCAGAGGTTGTGCACGGTGAGCCTCGCCAGCGACCGGAACGCGCCAGGGCAGGCTCGCCGGAGCCGCGTGAAGCGGCGGCCATTCCCGAGCATGAGCCGCTTCTGCTCCTCGTCGTCGTCGTCGACGAACGCGCAGGCGCTCTCGGCGAGGATCTCGAGCTCGACGGCGCCGGCCTTGACCCTGCCGGTGTCGAACGCGTCGCCGACGAGCGCGCCGACGCGGTGGACGCGGTCGTCGTCCGTCGTGAGGACGAGCTTGAGGTGGAGCTTGTCGATGGCGCGCTTGCTCGGCGGCGCGGCGAGGAAGCTCGCCAGCGCGGCGGCGAGGTTGTCGGTGGCGCGCCGGTGGTGCACCTGGAGCACGGGGCGGCACGCGTTCTCCTTGTCCGGGATGAAGTCGTCGACGTCGAGGGAGACGGTGGTGATGTCGTGCCATGGCAGGTGACGCCACCACCGCGAGAGGATGCAGGTCCTCGCGGCGGCGTGGGCGTCGCCGTCCATCACCACCTTCTCCAGTATGTCGAGCAGGACATCGTCGGGTAGCCCGCTGAGATGGTCGTCTCCGCCGCCATCGCCGTCGCCGGCGGCGGCGGCGCACGCTCGTTGCTCGCCGTCGTCGACAACCATTGCCACTGATGCACGTAACGTATCGTGGGTGTGTTTCCTTCTACCACGACGACAATATAATCGTAAGGCTGTTTCGGACACGAACACAAGCCGTAGAATTTCGTCACGTACTGCAGCATGAGTAAGATTCAAAACGGCGTCCAAGAAATTTTCCTATTCGGGCAGGGAGGCTGGTCATTTTTCTTTCATTAATTTTCCTCAGTCACTGATGCACACAGCACACCAGGCGTGAACTGATGAGTACATTGGTATCTTGGTGATGAATCTGAATATTTCACATTGTACCTTTCTACTACTATACAATATATAGGAAGAATGAATGAGAAAATAACTATTTTTGATCAACCAACCCCTCCAAGGGAGACAGAAAACAGAAAGAACCACGTAGAACAAGGTACGCAAATGGAGAGGACTATCACGACAATAATGTAACAACAAAATGGCACTGACCGAGCAGTACTATAGTCCGGCAGGAAAATTGCTCACTTGGCCTTGTTCCAGTCTGTCCTCACCATTCACTTTGTATGACATCCGGATACGCATTGCAAGTGGTTTCTGTTCAGAAGAAAAGCAAAGCGAAATCAGCTATAAGCACAAGGCAAATAGGTCCAAAACATGAGAAGAAATCCGTATGTTCTAAATCTGAAGACCTCCATAACTTGAAAGAAAATCATGAATTTCAAAGACTGAAATTTCTGCAGATTATGCACCTGTCAGAATGGTATACACATGTTGACAGCAGACACGTGTGCATAAAAAGTGAAACGGCAGCGAAGGATGCAAGTCTCCACATACCTGCCCATGTTGGTTATTGGTGACACTGAACCCTTGAGTAACTGAACCATTGCCACTAGCTGGAACAATGTTGCCACTAGCTGGATCCAGTCGCAATTGGATAAACTGAAATTCATTTGGACAGTTCAAGAAACATTCCCATCAGTGTCATCAAATATTTTAGCCTTGTTAAACTAGTAGAATAAAATGAACTAAAACACACTTGCCATTTTTTTAGCATCTGTTTCAATTGCTATAATGTAAATTTGTATAGAGAGCTTCAAGAGTACAAGATAGACAAATAAAACCATATAAATTAATAAAAGAACAAAGAATGGTCAACCACATGGTACCACTACCACCACAATAGAAGATTTGCGCCTCAAGAAACTATTACGGAAAATTATAATTGCTCGTCAAGTGAGATTTGAGAACTTGCATGCCATAACACTAATGCAAGTAAGGACAGCTCAAATATAGAAGACAATAGATAAAGGCGCCATGATGCTACCTTTGGAACAGCTGCCTGAAAAACAAAATCCGTATAAGAACTGGATGTCAAATTTGTAAAAGTAGCATGGACGGTAGTCTCGTGTGGTTTCTCAGGCTGCTTTTTGAAATTGAAGTTGATCTTCAAGGTTGCACTCTGGAAAGCTGTTATTGATGAGTGATTAACAGGTCCTGCTCAAATAAGGAGGTTTATTAGTAATCATGACAGTATTATATTCAGTACTTTGTAGCAAATATCTAACATCAAACTAACCAGAAACAGATGTATTTGATGGCAGACCATCAAGCAAATCCATATCTTGAGGTACTGCAGGAGCGGATTTGGTCCCTGCAATGGAAGTGTCAGACATTTTGGCAAAGGCTGTAATAGAAGCAATCGGTACGACAAGCATGAAACGAAACTAACCAGAAACAGATGTACTTGATGACAAACTACTGAGAACATCCGTAGCTTCAGGTACAATCGCACCGACTTGAGAGATGGTAGAAACAGGTTTAGTATCAGGTACATTAATCTTGAACAATTCAGTGATGGCTATAAGAAAATATGGAAATACATGACTAGCACAATTAGAATTACATTTACCTTGGGCAGGAGTAGAGTCTGCTGCTGGCGGGCCATTCTGTGATGGAGATGATCCGATAGATAGAAGATCAATAAGAATATCTGTGCTTGCGGATGAAGGTGCAGCTGGACATAAAGCAAAAAGACATTTAGTCTAAGGTAAGGAATTCTATAGCATGCAAAAAGAATGTGGCAATCTAAACTAACATAATAGATTGGAATGCAAATATTTCAGACGTTGCGGCAGCATGTGAAATGTGTACTATATTATAGTTGCAATTATTGCAAAAGCAAAAACTAACTGATATCTTTTTGTGGGACAAAAGAAGGCAAGGAGGTTGCATGCACATTTTTGGAGCAGAAACTGCTCGATGCTATATTGACAGAATTAATTTTATTGGAACAGAAATTGTACGATACTATATTGACAGAATCAACTTTTAGGGCAAAAATATACAGCTAATTGGAAAGACATTGAACTTTTGGCCCCAAAATGCAGCAAAAAATCAGTACATGTCAGCAGGGAGGAAGGGAGGGACTATCAGACTATGCTGCTTCATTTATATTACAAGATTAGAAAAGTAACAAGGAAGTCCAAGTGGACAACAATAAAAATATTGAAATAAATACCTGCAGGTGATGAACTTATCCCACCAATACCCAGAAGGTCTTGTAGGAAGTCGTTAGGTGCTGTAGTGGTAGAAGCAGTGGTAATGGCTGGCACATCATCAGAACTTAAGTCAAGCAAATCAACTAAAGGACTGGTGGCAGGTTTTGCTACACCATTTGGAAGCTTAAGGCCTCCGGGAGTGACTGCTGGGGTAGGCTTATCAGCTGCAAGAGTTGCTTGTGTAGCACTAGCCCTCCTCAGCAAATAACTAGCTTCATCCAATGCAGGCATACGCTCAAGCAAAGATGGCCTGCACTTTCACCATATTTCTCTAACATTAATACCTATATTAAGTGCCACAGTATTGAAGAAAGTTTCCGCGATAGCATCCAAAAGTTCTATAACACACCTGATAGACTGATGTCTTTGTATGATGGAACTGAATTCAATTGATCTTTGCTGTAGTTCAAGCACAATATTCTTTTTATTCTGGGAAACTATTTGCTTTATCCTCCTGTTAATACCCAGTAAGATTGTATTATTTAACCAAACAGTAATACAATATAAGACTAATCTAGATAAAACTAGCTCCATCAAAGAAGATGTAATAAGCCTGTAAAGAAGGTACTTCAAAATAAAAGCTAAAATGACGAGCAGCTCATACACAGCAGCACATCAATATTATTGGGGCAAAATTGGTTTCCACTCTACTACTTCCCAAATTTTAGCATAATATTCACCAGGAAAAAAGGCACTTCAAGTTGAAAGGTATATTACTCTGATGTCGATGGAAATCGTGACGAGAGCTTCAAAAGAGCCACAAGACACATAGCTCGAGTTGTCACATCAGCAGAGTAACGGTTAAGAGCGAGTTGTACAGCATCCACAGCATCAGATTCTGTTACCTGAAAAAAAATAATGTGTTGTGGCATGATGTCTCAAAACATACTGCACAAATTAATGCTGCCAAATTGAATGTTTGTACTACAGGTGTAGGCAACCTATATAGGACAATGATCCTAAACTGACCAGTTGTCTTCAACTAAGTGCCCGAAATATGTACAAAACCAACTACCAAGAACAGCTAAATAAATGATTGCAGAAAAAAAAATGGCAATAATAATCTGCAAGCATAGACTACATGGTTAATTAGCAAAAGCAGAAATGAGAATGATAACAACACTGGTGGATCATACAAAAATAGAAAAAGTACAACAATGTTTCAACGTTAGGGACATAACTGGAAGCTTTTCTTTAGCCAGATCAAAAGGTCAAAAATAATATAGCCTACAAGAATTCTCCTCTCACCGTAATAGGTTCCTCCCCTTGCAGCATGCCAACATTGTTAACTAGCATTTCACCATATTCACCGATGCACCAAACAGCCACTCTTACTAAACTTCCCTACACAGTGTAGTGCAACCAAGTTACACAAATCAGTTAGGTTAAGGTGGAACAATATGCATCATAACAAACACATTTTTTTTTCCAAACCTGATCGACAAATGCTTGTAGAGCCATGTATAATAACCTCACTGAATATCCTTGAAGTTCTGATGCATTGCTTATTACAACAACGAGGGCATGCCACACATCATCCTTCACATGATTTCCAGCCTGTTAATCAACAAGAGTTCAGCATGAATTGAAGACATTTTCTACTATTGGTCAAAGACAGACGACCAGAAGATATATCTCATGGATGCATGCATTCAATAATATCAGCATAAAATATAAGCAGTCCTGACAAATGTGCAAAAGTTACCAGGAAATGCACCCCCCACCCCCCACACACACACAAAAGAAGAAATAAAAATATTTTTATAGTAGGTGTCCACCATGAAGAGTGTCCCACTGGTAGGTTTCTAGGAAGGAATTGCTGAAACTGAAAAGTATATGTTCTGGAGCACACACTTTTCAGATGTGAAATGCCCTACTGTACTTTGGTACTTACCAAGGATAAAACCTTGAACATCTGATCAAGGTACCATAACTTCTCTTGAGAAAACCTAGCAGGGATGCAACACTGTTAAAAGTGCCTTAATTTAGCAGGAAAAATTAAAATATGTGTATATATTGGATACTAACTTTTCAACTATTGAGCATATCTTGGCAGTGAGATCTTCTTTGAAATCCGGATCAGCTGAATCTAAGTAGTCGACAAGCTCTTTAGTCAAAGGCTTTACATTTGTATCGTTGACTAACAAAAAAACAAGTTCAAGGGCCCTCTTGCGAATAGAAGCATCTGCATCCTGAAAGGTCCACAAGTAATTTAAAATGTTAAAAGCCAAAATAACATGATTAGATTCTAGGAAGGCAAAAACAATAGATGACCAAGCTGACTTAAGCTTCAAGATTGCAATATTAATCATATATAGCAAGTATTAAGGAATTGGTCATTTTAAAATAGTATATGTGAAATCTTTGTTTTACTTGAAGTATATATAATAAAATCTTGAGTTAAAGATTACTTTGAAAGAGCAGTACCAACCTAACTGGATTATGTTGGTCAGATAACTTGAATCCAGCTTTAGCTACAGTATCCAAGAGAAATTTTCT